TCCATCGCGTCTGTACATCATTGACACTAAAGGAGACCCGTTAATCATTCGCTATGGAGGTCTTGACCGGTCTCAGATTCCTGTTTACTATCGTGATGGATATGGGAAGGTCCTTGGCACACGGGGTCGTCTTGTAATTCATCGCGATGGACCAAGAGATCAGTTCAGTCTACGTATGCCTGGTGAAGGTCCATATGCCTTGAAAGACAGGGACGGTCTGCGCTCCAGAAACTGGCGTATAAGACCTACGCCGTTGAGAATCAGGAAACAGGAGAACGATGGCCAAGGTGAAGAAGAGGGAGACTTTTTGGCAATAAGCTCGTCTAAGAAGCGTAAACACTTGCATCAAGCCTCTGATTCTTCAGAAGACGAGGAACAGCCGACTTATCGATCCATAGAGGGCAAGGCGAAACCACGCCAATATGATGACAGCGACTTGGAATCCGAGTCAGATGCGGTTGCTGACGATATCAATCTCGATCAGAATAATCCTCTGAAGTGGAAGTCAATTCAGCTCTCGAGACGTGTCAAAGACCAGCCAGATGATATAGATGCATGGCTCGAGTTGGCGAATCATCAAGATGCTCTCTTGAGAGCAGGCGAGGATATTGATCACAAGGCGCTTGAAGCCGAGGCACACAGTTTTGCGGAAATCAAGCTGCATATGCTTGAATCAGCCTTGTCTAATGTGTCAAACCACCAGGATCGCATTCGGGTGCTGATTCCTCTCATGCGGGAAGGCATAAGAGTATGGAATAGCAAAGTCGCCGCCAAGAAGTGGCTCGATTTGCATGAGGATGAGGATAAGAGTTTCACTCTGTGGAAGACGCATCTTGATTTTGCCATGTCTAACATTTCTGCTTTCCATTTTGACACCCTCAAGCAAATGCACCTGGATAGAATACGGCATGTTATGTCTCGATCACAACTGAACATTGAGCCTGAAGACTTGAGGGAAGCTATCTATGTCTTTCTAAGACTTACCAGGTTCATCCATGACTCTGGTTACAAGGAGCTTGCAGTCGCAGCCTGGCAGGCTTTTCTAGAGCTCAACTTCTTCCGGCCCACGCAATTGGATGACCAGAGTGCGGCCTTTGAATCCCTCCGTGATTTCTGGGAGAGCGAAGTTCCGAGGATAGGAGAAGCAGACGCTCAAGGCTGGGCGAAATTTATAGCAGATGGTGGAATAGGCGATGCTCCTGAACCACTGCAAGATATCAAAGGGCACGAATACCAGTCTCGAGATGACTACAAACGATGGGCAATCCTAGAGAGCTCACAAGCTGATCAGGCTCGAATTCCCGCTAGGACCATGGACGAAGGAACAGAAGACGACCCATTTAGAGTGGTGATGTTCTCTGACATCGAGCCACTTCTCTTTTTCGTTCCGCAGAGTATCCTGCCTGCTGTGCAGGAGCAAGTGCTGGATGCATTTCTCATATTCCAGGGATTCCCTCCAACATTCTGGTCTGGCCACTGGACCGAAGAGGCGTACCATGATAAGTTCCTTGCAGCTTTCACATTACACACAGAGTCGAGTGCCCCCAGGCCGCTATCGGGAGACGAGGATCCGACTGAGATCCAGAGGAAGCCCCCTTCTTTCCACCAGAACCCTCTTTGCGTCTCGGAAACGCTCGACGTCCTTTTCCCTCACTCAGAATGGTTCTCCTATCTGCCCTCAAGGAATAGAAAGAACGGCCTTGAGCTTGGTTTTATGGTCAACGCAACGAAGCAACTGGTTCACAATGTCAACTTTGAGGGTTTGGCCACATACCATTTGGCGTTGTCTCAAGTTCAAGATGGCTCTAGTGTTAAGAAAGCGGCAAAGGCTTTGCTGAAGCGCTATCCGACGAACCTTGGTCTTTACCGAGCATACGCTATTGCTGAGTACGCAAATGAAAACCACGAAGTTGCAGCCAAGGTCTTGTCATCAGCAACTGAGCTCGCGTCGGCGAGTAACCTGTCTTCTCCGATTTCGACTCGTCGCCATGCTAACGAGTTACTGCAGAACTCACCAACAGCAGATGTGTTTGCCTTATGGAGAACTTGGTCGTGGATGGAATTTCAGAGGGGTGATAAACAGCTAGCAGTTCGAAGATTATGCTCCTCTGTAGACGATGCTCTTCGAAAGTCGGCTGGCACCCCTGAAGTATCATCAACACATATTCTTAAAACCCACCGAGCTTTCTCGTCTTTAACGAGCGACTTTATTCCCGGCGCGAACCTCGAGAATGCCAGCACTATTACCGAGTGCTTAGTCCTGTTGTCGTACTTGACTTCTGAAAGCTGTGCAGAGCCGATGTCGGCATCACAAGGAAGTATTTCGGCTGCGATAGAGACAGTGCACAGAACGTCTCTCGAGTTCAAGTCTCGAGGCTACCAAGCATCTCGCGCTCATGAGCGATTACTACAGTTTGCGTCGCAGCTACTGTACTTGCACGCAAGCCGAGGGTGAGTCCCAATTCAACAAATTGTCAGATATTATTGCTAACAAAGCCAAGACCTTTTCGCCGCGCGTATCTGCTGGATCAGCTGAAACAGTTCCTAGTGTACTTCCCGAGAAACACCATATTCTTATCACTTTTCGAATGGGCCGACTCCAGTCTTCGCGTCATCGACGAAACAAGAACGCTTCTGCACGAAACAGTCTTGACTCCAGCTCAGGATTGCCTGAGCAGTCGAATATTTGCCATCCATCACGAGATTGAACGGGGAAACGTCAACACAACGAAAGCAGCTTTTGAGCACGCCGTTTCAAGCGACAATTGCAAGTTTAATACATCTTTGTGGATACATTTTATCAAATTCTGCAGCTCACACAGAGAGTTGCGACCGAAAGCTAAGGATATATTGTTCAGGGCCTTGAGGCATTGTCCCTGGTCTAAGGATGTCATGATGGAGGCTTTCCTCACTCTGAATAGAGAGATGGATTCTTCGGACCTCAAGGGTATCTTCGAGACCATGACTTCGAAAGGTCTTAGAATCCATGTTGATCTGGACGAGTTCTTGAATAAAAAGAAGAACGAGAAGCAGGAGAGAAGAGCAAACGTTTCACCAATGACAGGTAAATTATTAAAGAGCTAGGACACGATGATGGTATAGTCTAAGTTAGAACATGTCCTACAAGCCTCCTTGGATTGAAGCACCCAGTAAGATTATTCCTAGTTGCTCCATCTGCTCTGGGCTTTTTACTTCAAACGGGCCGTATTCGCGCATCTCGAGGAACAAATGTGTGCTCCCCTTTCCTTTGCTACCAGTCCCTAGTGCACAAATGTACTCAACGTACTGGTAATCAAAAGTGGCAATGATGAGGTAAACTTCGCCATGATCCTGAGAGACGAGAAGACGGCTAAATTTGGTGTTGGGTCTTTTCAGTACGGGGGGATCCTGCGCGATCCAAGCCGCCATCTGAGCCGTTTCTTGCATGCGAATCTTGTCGAGAGTCTTTCCCGACCCGTATCTGATAAAGGGCTTGACTTCGACGATAGCACAAGTCCTGTCCTTGACCCGCAACAGGCCATCCACGCGTGCCTCATACACCTTGGTTGCAGAGGCCTTGACCACGAAGGGCTTTCGATAGAGGGTCCACGCACCCTGAGCATAATCGCAGTGAAGCGTGAGGGCGTTAAGGAACAAAATCAACGCGGTATTGACGATTTGTTCGTCCTCAATGCTCTGGCATTGCTTTCCGACTTCTCCAGAAAGGGGCGAGTGGTATGAGAGAGAGCCCAGCGGGTCTGAATTAAGACTGGATGTGTCTGAATCGAGATCCAAGTTACCAAAGTGCTCATCTATTGACATATCTTCTTTGGGTGGGCGAGAAGGCGTCTCTGGTCGTGATGTAGATCCCTGGTACCGCCGAGCTGCTTGGCTCCGTGTCACTCGAGGACTGAAAGCAACCTTGGGTGAAGAGAGGTCTATTTCTTCATCAGAGGGCTTCTGTCTTGGCTGTATAGACAGCCGCTGATAGTATTGGACCATTGCAAATGTTCCCTCTGAGATCTTCTTGTTGCTTGGGCCGAAAGACTCTATGTATCTCGTCCAGGACTTCAGCGTAGCCAAGTAAGAGGTAGCCTTCTTAAGCACATCTCTGCTGATCCAATCATGGTCCTTGCAATCATTCTTGAACTCAAGAGCACGACGGCCTTTCCACACTGCTCGAAGCAGAAGAAATTGTTTCGTTTCCACTTGCGATCCTGAGTTCAGGTCGGCGAGATCGTGGATTGACGAGTCGATGACTGAATGCTGCTGTGCCATTCGAGTCCAGTCTTGAGGGGTTTTGGGCAGCTTCGACAAGGCTGACATGGTTCAAAGGCAGGAAAGATTCAGGCGAAGCTGGTGAGGCTCGGAGAGATGGTTGAAGGTTGAGATAGGCCCGGGAAGAGTAATAGAGACAAGTCTGGTATATAGGTAGATCGGTGCTAGTTCCCTTGTATCTGATAGCGGTCGTTGCTAAGTTGCTGGAAGCGAATCTAGCCAGAGGAGGAGCAATATATGAGAGCCTGGAGACGCTGCCATCCAATGTTGGAGTAATTACATAGCCGCCAGCATTTGTGAGGGGGAAGACCCCCGTTACTACTATTTTGGTAGATCATCGCTACAAAACGTATGATATTCGCGGTCCTGGCGCTTAACTTGTGGTGGAAGTGAAGAAGTTTCCTATAGTACCTAGGTACCCACCTATATATATATACCTTAGGTACGCGCGCGGATAGAAGATACCTAGGTAGTGGAATGACGTCATTGAAGTTGACTATGAAGGAGGCCGCGCTTGATGTTGTCGTAACAACCAAGCAAATACAAACAGGCCCACAAAATACACTACCGCCAGCAAACTACTCCAAGTAAAGCTCCACAGGGCCCTAGAACCCTCTGAAACTCGACCTAGCATACCTTAAACTCCATAACGGCGCAGTCGAGCGCTTGAGCAAGTGAACATCTCCATCCGTAATAAATTGGGCGCTTATTTCGAGTCAAAAGATCTTGATAAGAGCCTCAAGATGCCGCCGCGAAGTCGAGCCACAGAATCATTCTGTCAAAGGCCATCAGAAAATAAACAAGACGCTGAAGCAGACATGAACCGACACAGAACCGACCAGAGACGGGCCAATCTTGACAAGATTGCCCGTTACATCATCCGTCCACTGAGCCAATCCTCAGATAGACATGTGGGCATGGACTTCTTGAAACACTACGGCATCAAATGCTACGATATGGACTTCAAAACTGGTCAAGTCGGCAAGCGTGCAGAGCCATATATCCAACTTGTTCAGCCTCAAGTAATCGAGCAATGGCTCAGGGAGATTGGGTCTCCCCCGCTCAAGGATCGTCGAGATTTCGTGAACGAATTCTCTCATGAGTTCGGAGACAGTCCCCTGTGGGAAGCGACCTTTATGTGGGATTGCCTCTACACTTACATCTCCGAATATGAGAATGCCCAAGGAAACTGTGTCATGACGACTCGCACCACATGGCTTGATGTCAGGTATGGACACGGCGAATTTACCCTATCATACAGATCTATCGGCCCAGCTAACATGGTTTGCAAAGCTGCGGTAGTTCCAGGCTCATTAATCGTCTCGGCGAAAAGAACGCCAACTGGCAGCTCAAAGCTCTCCTTCGCCAACATCTCCCCAACCCTTCACGCTATGATCGTGTACCTGATTCTCAGAAGCCTCATGTCATGTGCTACCTGGCAGATGAGGCGCGGCTAGTAGACGACAAGCTCCTGACCAGCGAGCTCACCGCTTTGCTTGTTGTTGCAGCCGACACAGCTCTCAAAGCGACCTGGCAAAAGCAAAAGATCATTCCGGTACGAGACAGAATTTAACTAATTATCCACCTTATCTCGCGTTGCTGACACGAGTTATTTCGATAGGTGACCCTCATCACTGGCTCGCGCAGGACTGTTCGGGTATCCCAATGTATTCTAAACGCAGAGACGGGAGGTATCGAGATACGAAAATCACCCCTCGTATCGTTCCCAAACGGCTTTCGAGCAGACTGGAACAAATGTTTGATGTTACTGGGATGGATTCTGGGCACTCCAGTAGGAAGAACGATGTGATCTGAAGACTTGGTACCTAGCATCTTTAGTACTTGGTAGATGGTCCGTATGCTTGTTTTATTAGGTACCATGTTTATGTCTAACACTGGGCGGCCTGGAGTTTGGCGCAAATCAATACTCAATGTTACTTGAAAGGATTTAAAGGACAGCTAGGGCTAGGTAAAAACATGCAAGACGATGGGTCAAGGCGTGCACTCTCAAAGCTGTTCAGGATAATATATATATGATAGTGACAATGAAGCCACAATCCTCGGAACTACCTAATTATCGCTCAATCCTGAGTTGAAATCATGCCTCAGTTGAAATCAAACAGTGGCTGTGATTCACAAGGTGAACCCATTCCAGCTGAATACCAAAAATAGCACACCCTGAACACCATAACTACTAACGTACTACCTATGCCGTTGTCTTTAGTGGGGGTTTGTCTTCCTTGATAACAAAAGTATTGAAGTCTGTGATGATGCTGAAACAAAGACCGAACTTATGTATGTAATAGAAGCACGCTGTGTACCTTTCTTTGATACTGCGTCATGGCTTTGCTGTGCTGTGCTGTGTTCCGTGTCTGGTGGAGACAGAACAGGGGCTTTTAGGGGTCTTGGAGCCCGGGCCAGTCTTTACAGCGGATCTAGCGCTGAAGCTGAAGCTGTCGTGAGCTGTCTTGGGCCCAAGCTTGATTGATTATGAGACCATCCATTGCATCCAATGTGAGATTTAAAATGAAGGGAAGAAGAAAGGGGAGGCCTCGATAGATCCTGTAATAGCTGAAGCAAAGAAGAGGCCGCCAGGTGTTGATTAATTCGCTGTTGATCACCTACCTATTCCAACTCAGATTCCTGTTTCCTTGCGGTAGGTAATCACCTTACCTTAATCAATGCTCTGAGTCTAGAACATGCAGGGCCCAGTTACAGCTGGAGACGCCAGTGAAAGCCAAGTTTTGGCTCTGGCTCTGGATCTGGGTCAAGGTCAGACTCAAAGACAGCGAATAACTTCACGAATCCAACATCACTTGATTGCCCTCTCTTTTCTCCGCTCTCTCCGCTCTCTCCGCTCTCTCACCTCTTCAAAAGGTGGGAAACATAAACATCACCACAAACCCAAATCCAAACCCAAAAACATGGCTCATGAGCTCAAAGCTGGCGGAGGTGCCAGCGAAGTTACTCGCTCCCTCTCCAACGTCGACCCCGTCATCAGCGGCCAACTCGTCAAGCTTTTCCAGTCTCTGGCGGATAGACAAGACAAAACCTGGAGCCAGGAGAGACTTGCCTCCTTCATCACAGATGTTCAACAAGATGCCTCTTCACCCGCTGTCCAGGAACTTCTCGCCAGAGACCACCTCGATCTGGATGGCTTCATGGCCTGGATGACGTCGTCTCATGCAGCTGCTACAACCCCGCCTAAACCCCAAGACCTCTCATATCCCCTTGCTTCATACTTCATCAGCTCCAGCCACAACACTTATCTCACCGGAAACCAACTCTCAAGTGACAGCTCGACCAGGCCTTACACCGAAACTCTGCTGCGGGGCGGGCGCTGTATCGAGATCGATGTCTGGGATGGCGATGAGTCTGACCCTGAGGGCACGAGTAGTCCTTCCAGCAGCGATGAGGAGAGAGGTGTGAAGAAAGTCGTGAAAAAGACGAAAAAGAGAAGCACTTTTGGAAAACTCAAAGAAAAGCTCGCAAAGACGAGTCTCCGTGATAAGGATGAGTCCTCCGACCCCGAC